GAAGAATAGGAATAGCACCTCCTTGCGTGCGCAGATCGACTGCTATTCATCAGCTGTTCGGATTCGTTCAGTGCGGAACTTTAGGGTATTTTGTTGGGTTTTTTTTAATTTAATAATGACCTCTCGCCTCTCATTCTAAAGTCAAATTAAACGAAAAAAAAACTGCCGCCTCTTCCTCTGGAAGAGGTTTTTTGTGAGCGTAACCATATTTTAAAAAGCGCACTTCCGAAATTTGAATTCTTATTTATTCAAAAACTTATTAGTTTCACTTTGATTTTTTTCACACAAGTAGGATAACTGTTCGAAAGAGTGCACATTTGCGAAGAGGGCGCCACCGAATTTTGAGGACATTTTATTAATTGGCTCTAAGAGAGGAGTGGACCATCTTGTTATGCATGATCATTGATCTCACCAAAGATCGTACATAACAAGATAGTTCACTACTCTCTTTGAGCGAATTAAAAGAGTGTCCTCAAAATTCGGTGGCGCCCTCTTCGAAGAAGTGCGGACTTTGCTAACAGAGTTACCATATTTGTGTGAAAAGCTATAAAAGCGAAACAAAACAATTCAAAGAAAATTTAAAAGCTTCCAAACAAAATGTCTAAGAAGAACTTAACTAATAAAATGGAATGAATTTATTACAAATAATGAAGTGTTGAAAAAAGCTGGAATTGAAAATATCAACACAACAAAAAAAAAGAGAAGATGGAAATGTCTAGGGCATGTTCTGGGAATGCCGAAGACGAAATTGCCCTATTAGAAATTATTTTGGAAACCAACTGGAAAGAGAAAACAGGGAAGCCCAACTTGAAGCTATAGAGGCACAATAAGAGATGAGACAATGACCCAGAGCCTAGATGTGCCGAAATTGGAGAAAGTGGCCCGAGACAGACAAGCGTGGCGTTGACTGCTCTCCATCTTATGTACCTGACGGTATAGAGAAAGAGTTAGTAAGTAAGTTACAAACTGTGCTATTCCTATTCTTCTTCTGGAGCAACGAAAAAGAGCTTCAAAACAAAGACTGCAGCGTCATCTGAACCAATGCGAGGACTTCCACAGACACTTTTTGTCTGAGTGAACAATCGTGTTTTGTACGATCTTTGATCTCACTCAGTCCGGGTTCGCCCTGGCAGGAAGTGTCGATCAGGGCTGCCACTTAAATTTTTCAAATTCAGCTACGCCAGCCTAAAAAATAAGCTACAAGATGCAAAAATTAAACTACATCTAAAAAAAAAAAAAGCCATAGAACCCCTAAACCGAATCAAAATAAGTACAAAATTATTATACTGTGATAATATTCTCCGTAAGCAGTCCGTATGAAAACTAAAACAGTCGCTGAAAAGAGAGAAATTGAGCTGTGGAAACAGTGCAAAAAGCACTGAACGTGAAAATCATGCTAACTGTAACAAACGCAATATTTTTCCAACAATTTCACTTACCATTAGCATTAGACACTGTTGATTCATACTGCCTCCTGGATAATCAAAAATTGATAACAATTTGATTATCACTCATAAAGTCTCCTCGACTTTCCGAGCGAAACTCTGTAAATCCCCCCCTTTCCTTCCCACCTCCCAAACGAACTAAAACTTTATAATACGTTGAATTTTTAAAGATAGGAGTTCTTTTCAAAAACATTTTGTTGATCGCTCTTTACAGCTACACAAGACACATCTAGATCTAGTTAGAATTAAATGCTCAATTATATTTATGTCACCTAAAGTATTACTTAAGGGCGCTGTTTTTAATTTGTAGTTTCTTAAACAGAGACGTGAACAACCTTGCAGTGATCTACCTTTTTTCAGCTTTTGTAAGAGTTTTACAGCACTTGCAACACAATCCAGGCAAATCTTCATCTTTCACTTTATTTGCTTGTTGGTTGTTTTGGGGGGGTGGGGGGTCTTTTGTTTTTGTTCGTTTG